TAAAATGTGACCAATAAAACACACATATTATATACAATAAAGGTAAAAAAGTTTATTTATTTTTGTCACATTTTACCCCCAAAATAAAATATATTTTGAATTTTTATATGTACTTCTATGTAAAATTATATCAAATGTGGCCAATACACAACTGAGTGTTTTAACTCCTTGAACAAACCAGATGTCACAGAGAGACAGAGATATCAAACTAGATCTCACAGACATTTCAATGCTCAAGACTCCCATAGATTGATACTCCTATCTGCTGGAGTGATAGACAGTTACGTTACAGAAAACACATCTCTCCAGACTCTTCTCATCTTCACGTCTAAGGAAAAACTATATTGTTGTCGGGTGAAATTCTGCATATATTTTTCCCAAATAAACCAGATACATCTAGATTCAATGTGCACATGCTTTCTATAGCTTTCGGTTTTAGTAAATGGCAAAAATCCCATATTTAAACTCTTACAGGTGCCTTAACACCAGCAAATCTAGGTCACTGCCCATTGAATCGTGTAGCATTCGACACTAAACTATAAAGCAATGCAGTTCTCCACTTATTACTTGAATGTTCCGATGTTAATGCCAAAGGAGGAAATGGTGAACCCATATCTTTCTCAAAGCAGTGCAGCCACATGAAGATGTGAGAGTTGTGCATTTGAATGTGCAGAAAGTGCTGGTACATGTATGTCTGTATAATATCTACTACTATGAAGGTCATTCACTAGACCGAGCCCCCTGAAGCCACTGAATTTCAGATAACACTGCCCTTATGTGCGCCATTGGTTTTTTTGGTTTTCTTCAACTTTTAAGACAACATTAGATAAATGCATAAAATAGGCAGTTTTTTATACAAAATAAATAAATAAAGCAAGTACTTGCTTATTTTAATATGCTAAATGTATATTGACATTATTATGATACTGTTATTATGATTATTGTTGACATTACTGAATGGGAAATTTTACCCTATAAGTTGTATCTCTGCACTGATATCATATTAAAGCTTATCAATCTTCTGTTGATTGTTTCTTTGTTTTCATTCATCACTTGTGTGCTATCTCTTCATAAAAGTACAGTGACGGTACCATGGTACAGTAATGGTATCAGTTGGTAACACCGTGGTACTCTAAGGCAGGGTCTTTCCATAGTACAGGGGTCACCAAACTCGGTCCTGGAGGGCCGTGTCCTGCAGAGTTTGCCTGAAAGTTTCAATTCTACCGAGTAAGACCTTGATTAGCTGCTTCAAGTGTGTTTAATTAGAGTTGGAGCTAAAATCTGCAGGACACTGGCCCTCCAGAACCGAGTTTGGTGACCCCTGCCATAGCAAATGTACAAAAAACCTGGTATTACTCACATGTTGGTCTGTTTTTGTAAAGTGAAAACCGTATTAGCAATAGTATTAGCCATGTTTTACTGTGATTTTACCATGTTCTTAGGCAGAAGGCATAAAACTGATCCAATTACATGTTTTACTTGCATTTACTCAGTTCATAAGGTATAGGGCCTACTGTATTTCATTGATTTCACAGCTTTAAAATTTGCTCATTTTTTATTTTAAACCAAAAAAAAAGTTTAAGTTTTTAGAACGTAAGCTACTAATGATCAATGGTTAAACTGCTTTTTTATATATATTTAAAAGCGTGGCAATAGCAATATGATTTAGCTCGTTTTATGTGCTTTGGTAATTTTTATTTTATATATATATATATATATATATATAGTATTTAACATAGGTTTATTATTCATGGTACTAAATGTAGTTATTAATGTATTATCTAATTACAATTTTTACTTGCATTTACTCCATTCATAAGCTATATTTCATTGATTTTTTTTTAAACCTTTAAAATCTATTTATTATTTTTAAATTAGTTTAAAATTATTTCACCAAAAAAATTGAGTACGTCATAGTTTAATTTTTTAGTGTGTAAGATACTAATGTTCAATAGATACATTTATTATTATTAATAAGCAACAAACAGTAATATAGTTTGTAAACTGTTTGCAGTCCCCAGACACTGTAGCAACTTGGGTATCAACTTTTTATAAATACTTTTAATCAGTGTTATTTTAGTGATATTTATATACTATTATAGTATTTATTCATATTTAGAATTATTTTATTTGTATATTTTCATTTTGATTTTAGTTTGTTTTAGTAATTTTATGTGTTTGTTGTTTTTATTATATATTTCTATTTAGCTTTAATTGGTTTGTTTTAATTTGTCATTTTAGTCACACACATATTTCAATTCGTTTTTCTCATTTTTGTTTTTCATCACGTTTTTCACCATTTTATTTCTTTATTTCAATGAATGAAAACACTTTTAATTGCTTTAGTTTTAGTTGACAATAATGACACTTCTTGAATGCGTCTCATCCAAGCGGCAACCTCCCGCTCTCTCTCGTGAAGCCAACACGGAAGTGACTTAAACTGTAATTCGTCAACTGGCCGCTAGAGGCTGGCTGCAAAAGGGAGTCAATCCCATAGACTTCCCATGTTAAAACTCGTTTCGAATTTAATGTCAGAAGCATCCATTTCCTAAACCATCTTTTAAAAAAGGCTCAACTGTCAGCCAACTATAACGTACACATGTGTTAATGAAGTAGAAACAGTGTTCAAACTATACCGTGGACTTTGGGGGAGCCCACTTGTTTGTTTTTTTTATAACAAGGGGGAGGGGGGGGTGTTCGTGCGCTTGCCTTACAAAGACAGTTCCCTCCTTTGCGCCATTAAGCTCCTGAAGCTTCATTAAAGGGGTAAGCTTTCTGTAAGACTTTCCTTAGCCACCATATAGGCGGACCTGAATGATGTTGCGGTCTCCTCCAATAATTTGGAATTCACCTCAATTACTTTATTTGGCAGAATCGCCTTTTGCTTA